GATGTTCTCTCATACAATGTGAGAATGTAATCAAACTGCTTGTCAGAGGGTAACTTTTATGTATAGGGAGAGTGTGACTTTTAGGACACTTGAGCCTAACATTATAGCTTGCATAATGTTAGCTTAACCAGCTGTTGTTGTGGTTTAGCCGGCTGATTGTCAGCTGTCCGTAGATGGGAGGATCACATGTCTAATCTGCTGACAATAAGTAATTACGGCAATATCTGGAAAAATTAGCATATCTATGCACATTGTCTTGTGTTAGAGCCGTGATGTCAGTTCATCAGATGAATCTTGAGTTGAGAAAGCAGTGGTGAAGGAGAAAGATGAGGAGGAGCAGAAGAAACAGATAATAAAAAAGAAGATGTCTTTACCGCATTGAAGGGCCAATGGACGGGGCTTATTGTAAAATTCCAGGGGTGTCCAACTCCAGGCCTCAAGGGTCCTTGATCCAACACAGCTGATTTAAATGGCCAAATTACCTCCTCAACATGTCTTGAAGTTCTTCAGAGGCCTGGTGATGAACTAATCATTTGATTCAGGTGTGTTTACCCAGGGTGATGTCTAAAACCTGCAGGACACCGGCCTTGAAGCCTGGAGTTGTACACTCCTGGATTACTTACTGATAACATCTGCCCCACCCAATTCCAAACATGAACACTTCTAACAGAACACAGCAGAGCCACATTTAGCACAAAATGTGTTCTCAGTGCCAAATTCACACACATTTGCAGTAAATTGTGCATCCAAAATCTGAGTAAATCCATTTTCTTAATGTTTCATTTAAATACTTTAAACCAAAACTCCCCGGTCACACAGGGATTCATGCCAGTTTTTATGGTCTTGTTTTTAAAAATAAAATACAAACCACTAGACCTCAGCCACCTCATAGTCATATGTCTGTTAAAAAGTATGAAAAACTATGCGGAACGTTCCAGTGTCATGTGCTGTGACGCGAAGAAGACGGCAAATATATCATTTATGAGACACAAACATACCTTACAACCTGTATTTTTTTACTTTATTTTTTATGTAATACAGTGAAAAAATATGTTTGATTAAGTTAGATTTGAGTAACTTATTTATATGGTATAGCAGGGTATCAGTCTAAGGCAGGGGTCCCCAATCTCAGTCCACGAGGGCCGGTGTCCCTGCAGGTTTTAGATCTCACCCTGGGTTAACACACCTGAATCACATGATTAGTTCATTACCAGGCCCCTGGAGAACTTCAAGACATGTTGAGAAGGTAATTTATCCATTTAAATCAGCTGTGATGGATCAAGGACACATCTAAAACCTGCAGGGACACCGGCCCTCGTCGACTGGGATTGGGGACCCCTGGTCTAAGGGATATTGAAGTGACCTGCGTGATGATCAGTAATTAAAATCTAAGGTGCTGAACCTGTAGAGGTGCAATCATCAGAGGTTATCCAGTAGAAACAGGAGGGTTGTGATGACAGTAAATCCAGTTCATTAACATTTATTGGTTTACCATTCTTTTATTTTAATCAGGACACGCCTCCTTGAGTGAATGCAGGTCTCTATGGGCTGTGTGTGGTTCCTCTTAAAGAAATATTATTAAATAAATATTATAAATGTAAGAGATTATCAATAAAGAACAGGTTTGTTGCTTTGGAAGGTGTATATGTGTTTGCTATTGATGTGTTGAACACATGGGGCCAACTAAGGAATTGTGTGGCAGTCCCTTAATGGCTTATAGCAACAATTATGTGGATTATCCAGACTGCAATGACCAACAGGAAAAAGGTAACTACATTCGGCAAGCATGACCAGTTTATATCACACAGACTCCAGCATTTGTGGACAACCTCTACAGAGCTAAGAGGACTTGAGCAAAATATTTACATAGTCATGAATGCACACAATAAGCAGCAGTAAAACAAAAGAGAAAAATGTTCAGGGTGTAACTGAAATGTGAATATTAGTGAAATGTGGAAGGTTTTCCCAGTGCCCTCGTTGTGATCTCTGTGCGGTTTGTCCACCTGATTAAAAACTGAGCTTCGTTGCAGAAAGGGGCATAAATTTTGTTGCTTGTTAAGCTCAATGCTCTGTGTAATCTCTAACTCCTCTTTCTGTGCATATGAATATAATATGAGTGAGTTGGTGACATTTTGAACACAGGGCTTTATTGTGAGACACCCTTCAGGGAACCACAAGTTAGATTTACAATTTCAGACAAATAAGTTTATTTGGAAAATGTAAAAAAGGATGTGTTCGTATGCAATAAAGCATCTTGTTTGTGTTCCGGTACAGAAAAAAAGCCACAATGATAGAACGAAAAAAAACTGCAGCTTCAAGTTGTTATGTTGGAAAAAGACACATGGTCATCTTGAAAAGCAAATATAGAAATACCACAGCTGGAAAACCTGCCTCACACTTAAACACATGATTCTTTAAACAGCTTTTAGGCCACATTAAATACAAAAATAACTATTTGGGGTACTTCCATGTTTCACTGTATATAAAAATTAATCTCTGTTTTTTACTGGAATGAACAGGCTAATCCAAAATAACTTCATGCTGCTGCGCCCTTTCTCCTGTTTCAAAGGATCTGCCAGATGTAACTTTTGTTTTTCTTGATATTTTTCTACATTGTTTCTTATTTTTACACTTTAAAGAACTCTAAAAGGATATTTTGCTTTCCCCTTTGCATTTCCAAGTTAATTGCTGGTTTTTAGTCTGTGGAACCAGTGAGAGCAAACCCACCCAAACTTTTTAAAATGTACCTCTAAAAAGTGAACATCAACCAATCAGTTTCCGTATAAAACCTCCTTGCTTACCACTGCACTATCTACTACCTCTGTTGGTCCCAGCAAGTATTTGATTTAACATTAAAATATAAGGAGTAGTGTTCTCCTACTGCCTGGGTGTTTGGTATGCAGGGGCCACTACTGCTTACAGGAAGCCTGCACAGAGGGTAGTCAACACCACCCAAAAAAATTATTGGCTGCCCTCTGCGACCCCTATAGGCCATTATCATTTCCACCTGTCTCAGAAAAACCAGACCCATCACAGGGTACCCCTTGCACCCTGCATACCACCTGTGTGACCCGCTGCCCTCTGGTCACCGCCTCAGGTCACTCAGATTCCACACCTCCAGACTGACTAACAGCTTTTCCCGGTGGGCCATTGTGACTATAAACAAACACTCCCCACACCCACCGCTGCCCACCTCACCAATCTGGTCTGAGTAACCCTCATCACTCAGGCCACTCGCATAAGTCCCTTTGAAGTGCTTCCAACCACTTTGCTTGTAAGCAAAGTGGTTGTTTTGTATATATTACTTTAGTTTGTATATGTTCCTCTAGACTGTATATCTTTTATTTTTTGCTATCTATCCTGATGTCTTTACTATTTATATTTGGGTAGTGACCGAAAGAACGAGATCGCGGATAAAAGCGCTGGAAATGGGCTTCCTCCAAAGGGTGGCTGGCCTCACTGTGCGATTTTTGGCCCATTTTGAGCCGATTTTTGAGTCGTGCGACCGTTTTGGCGATCGGCCCGATTTTGGCCTTCATCGTGCGTCGTGCATCGTGTAGTACACGTGGGGTAACGAGAGGCGATTAACACCTCACGACCATCAATCGCTTGGTCGCGAGGATTTCAAACCTGTTTGAAATCCTCGCGACCGTCGTGAGGGTGTCACCGCAGCCGCTCACACTGCGCATGCGCAAACACAAATGTCAGCGAAAAAGACGGCGCAGCACAGCAGTGTAGCGTGTGATCTGGACACAAGCGATGGAGGCACAATTTGTAGAACTTTGGAAAGTTCATCCGAGCCTTTTCGGTGTGGCCTCACAAAATTATCACGACCACAACAACCGTGAAAATAGTTGGATTTACACTACTGCTCAATCACAGCTGCCTGATCAATGTTTTTCACTGGCAATTTAGCAAAGTTGATGGTGGTGGTGTGCGTGTCTGTGTGAGTGAAAGACAGAGAGGGAGAGCGAGCGACAGAATTTCTGTTATAACCTTCATTTTATGGAGGCACAGTGTGAGCACTCGGGTCGCATCAGAGCATCGGGCCATGTAGTGTGAGACCTGCATCGTGACCTATGAACTTCTAACCCCTGCGAGTCAATCGTACAGTTTGAGCAGGAGCTGAATCGCGCGACTGAAAAAATCGCACAGGGGTGTGATTTTTGCAGCTCCTGCTCAAACGATTGACTCGCAGAGGTTAGAAGTTCGTAGGTCACGATTCATGCTCAAACCATCTCAACTGCAGTTGAGATGGTTTGAGCATCTGACAAGGGACAAGGACTCCTGGGCGCCTCCTTGGTGAGGTGTTCCATATTATATCTCTCGGCTGGCCTGGGAACGCATTGGTGTTCTGTTTGTGGCAATTTTTCTCCTTTCTCCATAAAAAAGAAGTTGTTAACATATCTCACATCTTGATCTCGTGAGAACGCCATTAGACCCGCGTAGCTGACTGTGCTTCAAAGCAGGGGAGCTGCTTGCAGGTAAACTACCTGAACAGCATTTACAATGCCACAGACCTGTAATCCTCGTAGAAACTTCATTCAAACGTGATATAAATAAATGACTTTTGGTGATAGATTTTTTCCTCGACATTATTTATCTTGTAACGAGGAAGAAGGTTCATTTAAAACAATGGACCTAAAGGGTGTCCAGAATTTCGCTTCCAGTAAGGTCGATTTACGAAAGGATTTAATAGTGAAGCAGTCGGTGTTAAAAGGATTACAGTCAGTCTGATCTTGCAGTATAAGACTATCACTATCCAATCGACTTTTTTTTTCGGGCTACAGGCTCAGCCCAGTGCAATAAATAACGTCATCTATACGAGGTTTTTAATATGATAGGTGACGCAAACCCCACGAATAAAGAAGAAATGTTTATATTAAATTAACACAAGAAACAATCCATATATTTCTAAGACTTGTGTTTTATATAAGGCAGAACAGCATGCCACGCCCACGAGGCTTTTATAGTCAAGAGGATGGAGCGAGTAGAGCAGATTGATTTTGAGGGTGCAAAGGGATTGTAGTGCAGCTCAGCAGCTAAGGCGCAATATGAAGCGTTTTCTTTTCTCTTTATTTTGGCTTGTCGGGCATTTACAGCCAGCTCTTTCTGCTGGTTTGAAGGATACACCGACTCTCGGGTCCAAAAATACTCCTCGACTTCTAAGCAAAGGTAGGTTGCGTTAACATCGACGCAGTGGCAGTATTACATTACGAAAGCTCTAGTGTGTGTTTCCTATTCACTTTAGTCAAAAACACTGCAAGGACAAATCCGATTCATCTTCTCGTGTTTTGATGTAAGTGCAGAATGCCGTAATTCCTGATTAAAGCGTGATTATGAGATGCTTTTTCACCCTGCAGATATAAGCGTTGGGCTTGAATACCAAATTAATCAGAACCACAGTGTGTTGTTCTATGAGGAGGGCTCAGATGAACTGTACCTGGGAGGCAATGATTTTATATTGAAACTCAATGTGGACGACTTCCACGTCATAGAGGTGGGTTGGAGCAACAAATCGTAAACTAACGATGTTCTTTATTTATGTTTTCTTATTATGTTGTTGATGGTGTTTCTTTTTTTCCTCAATTCCTGTGGGGTTAAGCAGTAGCCATTAAAACCAACAGATGGTTGTGACAGTCCTAATAAGCGTCTGTCTGCCATACAAGACCTTGTACTGTAGCCTCAAAGTGCTCATTAAGAGGTCCAGGTGCTGAGCTCATGGCACCGACAGAATCATTAAGAATAGAACATGTAATAAACCAGAAATTTCAGTATGACTTTTTTTTTTTTAATCTTAATGTTAAATTTTTAATAAGTAAATGATTCTTGACCATAAGAGAAGAAATGGGTCTTATCATTGATATCACTAATGGATGTTGTGCTGTGGGAAGAGAAGCTGAAGGGAATCAAGAAGACATTTGAATTAAGGGAACTGGTTTTAGTCTATCCTTTTATTAATCTATCAGACAGCTATTTCAGTGGACAGTGTTGTAATTAGTTTCTTAGTGATTGTTTCAGATGCTTCTTATGTTTTTGAAATGTTGCTAAAGTTATGGCTAATCTGTCTACAATCAATGTGTTGACAGAAATTTCATCTGAATGCAACGGGGCAAGAGGAATGCCAAGAGGTCGGTGATTACAGAATGATCAGAGATGTGCTAATAAATGCATTGTGAAAATGAAATATAGAATCGGTTTCCATAACAAAGTTCTCTCTGTGTCATAGGACCCCTGTGAAAATGTTATCACTGTCATTGAGAAGTTTCAGAACAACCTGTTTGTCTGCGGGACGAACGGACAGAAACCAGAGTGCTGGCAACTTGTGAGTGATTCTAAAAAGTGTTAAATGTGTTAAACCGTAGACTAAAAGTGTGTGACTTTCTGCACTTCTGTGACAAGTTAATGGAAACTAAACTAGTTTCCATAAACTAGCAGCAGAGAAAAGCCAATTAAGGAGTGGAGCTCTGGTGCTTCTTGTTAAACTTTAATTGGGCGCCCTCTATAATTTAATGAAGGTGCTAGGTGCTGGGTGTCTGGTGTTTTGTGGTTTCCCATCACAGTTCTCTTGAAGTAATATCACTGTGTTCTGTTGACTCTCTGTGACCCTGCAGCGCCCTTCAGTGAACAATCAGTCTCTTGAAATATTCGATAGTCGTGACGGGACAGGAATCTCTCCATTTATCTACACACAGAACTCCCTATCGCTCACAGTAGGTATGTTACGCGCCGCTTTTGTAGTTACCATGTTTTCAAGGTTTTAATTATCAGTGTGCAGATTAATGTAACTGATTATTCAAAAATTCAACATTTTTGCCCCTGTCAATTTGGTGTATCGGCTATTTTTAGAAGGGGATCTGTATGCAGCAGCACCTTTGGATGCTGATGGAAGTACATTGCAGTTCAGAAGACAAGCTGGCCACAGGACTAATGTCTGGATGTATGACAGCTGGGTCTCAGGTAAATAAATACCTGCTCTTATTTTATAATGGAGGAAAACTACTGTAATTTAATACATTGGTGTCGTATAATCAGAATATGTTTGACTTAAAAGTTTGTCTTGTTCACTCCTCACCTCATTGTAGGGTAATTATGCTTTGGTTCAAGTTTGATGTGGCAGGCTTTCTGTTTTGTTTTGGGGGTTTTTCAGTTCGCGCTACACTGTAAACACTTTTTTTTTTTTTTTTTTTTTAATCTTTTTATCATGTTTTCACAGAGCCCACATTCATCTCTGCGTCATGGGTGCAGCGGAAGGACGACCCAGACAATGAGAAAATTTATGTCTTTTTCCGTGAGAAGAACTCAGACCACAACCGAGAGGCTGACCCACTGATATCTAGGATTGCCAGAGTTTGTAAGGTATGGTGAAAAAAGCTGAGCTAACATCAATGAAACTCAACTTTGCGTACAGATAAATTCTCTAAAACATCTTCATCTCACTTTCAAGAATTAGGAACAATCAAAAGTCTTGCTGTGACTACATAAGCAAACCTTTTTCAAGCATTTTGGAAGGTGGATTGTGCCCGCTCATTCTGGGACCCTTTGTGCCCAGTCCTCATAGGATGGACCACACCCACCTTTGAACTTGGCCTTCAGTCTAATTTGATCTACAATTGGATAAAGTTTTGCGAATGCGTTTGGCATGAGTACAAGGCTCTGCCACTGACAGAGTATGTCCAATACCAAAGTACTTGAAGCAAATTTGAAGTGGGTTTCAGTTCACTTGCCACACAGTTGGGAAATGTTGTAATAATGTTGTAAGCTTTAGAACAACAATATTCATAATGAATGGCAAAATGTGATCATGCCCATTAAAATAAAGGAGAGGCATTATTGGCTCAGTATGTGTGAGAGGGTGTGATAATAGCACAGCACAGGGAAGGTTGAGTCAGTCAGTTCAGTTTTTTTTTTTGTTTTTTTGGACACATCAACAGTACAGTTGCCTAAAATGACACAGCTTAAAAAAAACACAAAACCTGTGAGATGATCTTAAAAACTCAGCTTACCACCGCCTGCTGTACTGAATCTAAATTAAAGGCAGCGACTGTGAATAATTCTAATATTGTTTTGTGATGGTTTGCCATGTTTCTTTTACCGTAATAATCTGCATAATTTTCCATAAAGAGGAAACAAGATACTAAAGTCTGTCAGCTCAGAGGTGCTTGATGTTGATGTTAGGCTTTATGTTTTTATGGAAGCAGTAGTTATGCTCACCCAGTATTTCCTCTTATATCAGGATGTTGCATTAGTCATGTTAGTTTAAAACCATCACAAGAAAATATTCATTTGCACAACAAAGCAAAAGCAAACAAACCTTTGACCCACCACCAATACCAAAAAATTGGACTTCATCTACTTTACATTAACCAGCGCGAAAAGCTTTCATTTTGCTAAAATGTTGTTTTCGGGATCCTCACTTTGACATCTGTGCAAAACGAGACTTGCCCTAAAAGTGTTCAGGTGTTCTCGTTTCACATTTCTAATACAGCTCAACGTAATGGAAACTGTATCGAATAACCTTCAGCCGAAGCAGAATTAATGAGTTTCGTCCTGTCGGTATCATATTTCAGGTGGATGAAGGCGGATCAAAACGATTCTTCCAGAACATGTGGACATCTTTTCTCAAGGCCCGTCTTGTGTGTGGAATTCCAAAGGAGTCGCTGTATTTTAACCGCCTCCAAGATGTTTATGTGATGCACGCAGACAACTGGCAAGACACCAGGGTCTATGCCCTCTTCACGAGCAACTGGTTAGATGCTTCATTTTTAATATCTAAGCAACATGCAAACATGACAGTGACACCACAATCAACTGTTTGTCCTCATTTTCAAGGGTGTTGCCCTTCTTCCACTCCCATGAGCTGAGGCAATAACAAATTCACAGATGATTTAAACCTATGATGAACACTCTGGCAATCTTTCTTTCTTATATCCACTCTAGGAATTCTACAGCAGTCTGCATCTATACAATAAAAATGATTGAAAATATATTTGAGAACTCCAAATTCAACGACAACCTTCCCACACCAAGGCCAGGAACGGTAAGAACTTTATTATGTTGCTATGTTACTTTACAGAAACAGAATTTACAGACAACTTCCTCTAAATTGTTTTATTTTTACATTTCTACTTTCGTTTTGCTCACATGCAGTCTAAGCAGTTTATTCTATATCATGTGCATGAGTACGACCTGTGGTTTAAAAAAAAAAAAAAAAGACATGGAAACAGCTGTGTGCATGGACTGTTTCATCACATTCATTGTTTCCATCATAGAGACTGTGGTTATTTATTTGACATCCACTGAGATTAAATGGAACAAATGAAGGACCTTTGTATTTGCAGTTTCCCCTCATTGTGGCACAACCATAATGCAAGTTTCAAAAAGGGGCTGACACCGACCGCGGTCCTTTCTCTGTTCATGTTGCTATATTTTGTAAATAAAACCACCCCTGTAATTTACGATGTGGAAAAGTTTGTCTGTGCTTTGTTTTTGGACTATTTTTTTTGCCTTTCATGCAGTATACAGACTATTTTTGCATTTATTTTTCAGTGTTCCACGAACAGCAAGGCTTTGCCACGTCACACAGTCAATATTGTGAAGGATCACTCAGAAATGGCCGACTGGGTTGACTCAGATCCTTTTTATATAAGCACCAACAACTACACCAAGATAGTCGTGGACAGAGTTCAGGCTGCAGACCAAAGATTTTATAACATTCTGCTTCTAGCTACTGGTATGTCATTGTTCAACAGCACAGGGTCCTTGGGATCTTGTTTTGTCATTAGTGCCTTCGCTGCCTTTCAATTGTCTTACATTTTAAGAATGCATTGTCTGTAATATCTGTTAGGAACAATAAGCTAAAAATACCTAGCCAGATATATCACTTGCAAAAAATAACACAATATCAAATTCCTGTTCCAACAGATTCCGGGAAGATCCATAAAGTCTTGGAGTCTGGGTCAGAACCTTTTATCATATCTGAAACGCAGCTCTCCAACTCTTCAATCATACAGTCAATGAAGCTTGACTCTAAAAAGGTAGGGTTCATTTAAAATGCCATACTAAGTGCAGAGCACTGTGCTTTGCCGTTCTGGCATCAGTGTTTTTTCTCAGCTGCGCCCACCTTCAGTGAAACATGATGTTGCTATTTCTTTTTGCAGAGCGTCGCATTTTATCTGTCAGGTCATTGCTTTTGTGCTTCACATGCAGCTATTTTCAGCTGACAAACACCTCGTGTGCATTAGTTGTCTTGCGCCAGGAAAAGCCAAATCTATCAATAAGCAGGCTATAGAGTCTACAATTTCCCCAAAAAGAAAATCTTTTCATTCAGGTTTAAAGTAAATTTAGATTTTTGTCTTCCTTTGCTCAGAAAACATTAATTGTGGGGTCTGCTGAGAGAATAACTGCAGTGAACCTTCAGAGTTGTCAGGAGTACAGCAAGTCTTGCGAAGAATGTGTTCTGGCCCGGGATCCATACTGTGCCTGGACTAACAATGGATGCACCTCGACTGTCCCGTAAGTGCGAGCAGCAGTCTTACCAAGACCCTCTGGCACATTTTATTATGTTTTGCACAATACCTGAAACAGCTGTAGAAATGAATCAGATAATCAAAGAGGGAAAAAATCTTGCAGAAACATCACTCACTGAAACGTGTTTTATTCGTCTTTGCAGAGGGAGCATTCAGAATATCGTGGATGGGAAAACAAACGTATGCAGTTTAACAGTTAAAGGTAGCTAATGATGAGACATTTATTCATCTTGCTGTAGACTCCAGGAACAAATTTAGTCTGATCTCTCTGATCGCTCTCTTTCCCTTTTCCCCCCCCTTTCTTTCTTTTCTCCAAGAGCCAAGAAACCGGACCAAACGTGAGATACCTCCACTATCATCAGTGCATTTGAGGACAGTTCATTCAGTCCCCCAGGGTGTGCCTTTCTATCTGTCCTGTCCCATAGACTCCTACCACGCTGAGTATACATGGGAGCAAAAAGGCCAAAAGAGTCCTTGTTTGCAGATGCTTACCAACTGTCTGCACCTCATTCCTTCCATGTCACAGGAGAAGTATGGCACGTACAGATGTATTTCAGAAGAGAAAGACTACATCAAAGTGGTGGGAACATACGAGCTCATAGAGAACCAAGACCCAAAAAAGTGCTCAAAAAGCAATACACCTGACAACTGGAACGCTGCACCAGCTCTTATTCCAGAGATGACATGGATCACGCTGCTTGTAGCAATAATTTCTTTTTGAACTGACTCTCTGTTACTCGCTACTTTTAATTTGCAGTGTCAAAATGTCAGGCCCTCTGTACTCATGCAGCACTAACGGAAATCCATGTCAAGCCTTTAGCGGAACCTAACACAAAGAGGGGCTTGAACAGGAAGGGGAAAGAAAAAAGAAAGCAGTACAACCGGTCAGCAGTGCACAGCTTGAATGGTCTCCAATGGTGATTGAAAACATCGGAGCATCTTACATAAAACACTTTAGCTGAGTACCTTTCTTCCTTTTAACACAATCAATGAAATGGAAGGCACAGAAAGTAATCAGAGGTAATTCCTCTTTACATGAATGTATATCTCAAGTCAACAACACTATTAAACTATGAGTGTAAGTGGGAAAGCTTCCAGTCAAAGGGCCACAGACAATCTTTAAACAGTAAGTCTGCTTAATTGTAAGTCTTATACAAACTGAAGGGAAGAGAGCTCTTTCCACTCTGGTCCATATAGAACCAAAAAATGTAAATTATCTGTTTTGACATTGCACTGCTGACCCGATAATTTAGGAATGTGTCTCCACCTTCTTTTTGCCTCAGTGCTCAGAAAGGTATCTTAAAAATGCACAATGAAAATATTTGGCTTTGCATATTGGGAAATGGCTTCTCTCAGTATTTAAAAGCAGTTATGTCAAAAATACTCCAAAACATGCAAAAAGTTGGCCTATTTGTAGTGTTATAATTTTTAACACATACTCACTGAAATTGGGTATGTGTTTTCCTGACGCGGCGCAGAGTAGGGATAGTGAAGGTGGATGAGTTGGCATTGCTCATCCACAGCAGGGGTAATGCATAAACGAGGAGAAGAAGCAAGTGCATGTAGTGTGGAGCGGATGGAAACGATTGTCAGGGTGATTTGTGACAGAAGGATAACAGCGAGAGTGAAAGGGAAAGTTTACAAGATGGCAGTGAGACCTGTTATGATGTACGGTTTGAAGACGGCGGCAGTGACAAAAAAGACAGGAGGCCGAGCTGGAGGTGGTAGGGATTTTGTTTTGTTGGGATTAGAAATGAGTCGATCAGATGGACAGCTCGGCTGAGACGGTTTGGGGAAGTGCAGAGGAGGCGTATTATTATACTGGAAAGGATGTTAAAGATGGAGTACCTCCATAAGGGAAAAAAAAAAATCTTATTTTTGTACACAGTATTATAGCACTGATAGCACTTTTCTTTTTTTCTTTTTTTCATGACCTATACTATAATACAAATAAAATAGTGCACATAATCCATCCATCTTCATCCGCTTTATCCGAGGCCGGGTCGCGGGGGCAGCAGCCTAAGCAAGTGCTGCTGCCCCCATAATATTGTGCACATAATATTTTGTTAAAATGAATTATTGCAATCACCTTGTAGAGAAAACCTCTAAAGAACACAGAGTTGGCCTCAGTAGCCTGAGATGGAGTCAGATTCCTTACCTGAATTATTGCTTTAGTCCCTTGATAAAGAGTGTTATAGAGCAATAATGTAGCTAATAAACCACTTAAAACTTTATTTACACCAGAATGTAGTAAGCTGTGCCTTGTGTTGCTTTAATTCTATGAATTTAACATAATGTCTCTTTACAGCTTGTGTCATCATGTTGCCTTACACACATGTATTTTGGTACGGTATTAAATTATTTAATCCCGAATGTTTAAAAAAAAAAGTTTTTTTTATATGAAAAGTATTATTTATTTCATTATTCACAAAATATTTAAAGAGATAAGAAAACCTGCTAATGTCTTGTAATGATTTCTTCATCATAAAAAGAGTGTGACAATTTACTGTTCACTAGGAGTCATCCTATTAGGTAAGATATTATTATTTAATCTTAGCAGGCTGTGTTTTAATCAGCCAGAGTACTCAGTAAATAACTTTCAGCATGACAAGAGGGCAGATGACAAAGCAAGGATCTTGAGCTTAAGCTGTCTTTTACCTAGATCTAGTCTCAGCGTTCTTAATGACTGCACAGAGTACATCCTGCTTATGTAAAGAGATTTTTTTGGGGGAAGGGGGGCACTACAGTGTATGTGCATAGACAAAAACAAATGGGAATTTGGGTGGAGTCCGATAAGGTTGTAAGATTTTCTTTCAGATTAACTAATTGAAGTCCAGAAACTCCATGGAAACCTAGTGTTGTTTATGCTTCTCTCATCCTGTCTCCAAATCTGAGATAACACAGCATCCATTATAGTGTAACACTTGACTCTGAACTTGGCTCTCACAGTAGTGGTCTCAGTCTTTTGGCCACACTCTGCTGACCAAACCCTGTTGTTGCAGTTTCATTCTAGGAAAACACGCCCTTTCAGCCACTGACACACTATGTTGTTGTGGGCTCTGATTTACAGCCACATGGTTTTAACTGTTTTGATCTGCACTGTCTACACAAATATTTAACACTGTAGAAGGAGATGGTACTTTCCACTGTTTATGGTTCATATGTTGTTCTGTCTGTCTTAGGCTACTATAATTATAATGAAGCTTACTAAATCTGTGGCTTAAGACAGAATTTACATAATCCCTGATCTAACAACTAGGTTTGTCCTTTGGTAAACCATCTGCATGCACTCATGTTTTGTTTATGTCTGGGTTCTTTTCTGAGTCACTCATCAAGTTGTAGAAATGTGTCAAGTGGTGTTATAGAGGACTTACAGCTAAGCATCACTGATAGGCTTTACTTTAGGACTATGTTAAGAAACACTTACGGTATCACAGGACTAAGCTGGTGCTGCATTGGTGTCTGAGGTCACAGATATGGTGACTAACAAACATGTTTTTGGTTTCTGTTCTGTTCTGATAAGAGTAAATCTTCATTCAGGACCTCGGCTCCCAAGTTTTCCTGTCCTTCTTCTCACAGGAAGACTTCAGGAAGGAAATTATTGGAAAACAAACACAAATTCCGATTAAGGAAATTCTTAGAACTGAAAGCAAATGTCATAAATGTAGCTTTTCACATGTGCGTCATGTTGTTTAAAGTTTCTAAGCACGCACGATACTTTGCCTGACATGAATTTACAACGCCTGTCTGTAACTGCAATCCGTTGCCAGCAGAGGTCGCTGTTATCCAACAGACCCGACATCGGTTCACGCTTCAACGCCTACCCTGAACTGAACACAAATCCATGGCTAACCTGACCCTACAAGCCAAGGCTTAGAATAATACTCGCATGTGGCGGTTTCCCTTTGAAGTAGAAGACAAAACAACCTAAAAAAAAGAGCAGGAAAAAATAAACAAAGTACCAGATGAGCCATTGCTTGATTTTATTTGTACAGTACTTCCTCATAAATCCTAAACCTGTAGCTGCTTGAGCTGTGGGGTACTTGAATGTTTTGGTAATTAGCCTACTCGACATGTGTGTTTATGTATAAGAGAAGGCATATTCATGCTGTGAGTGATTCGAATTGTTCTTTGTTTTCCTTTTGAAATTCCAGTCGAGTGCAGATTATTATCCATTTATGTTTTAAGTGTTTGTACTTTTCTTGAATTTAATTTAAAATAAATTACCATTCAATTTATTATTTTTTTTATTTTTTGTTCTCCAGGGTTTGTTTGTATTTTTGTTTTGTTTTTTAAATATATTGTCCTAGTGATTTTAAACCCTAGTCCTTCTGTCATCTTCATGGGATTGGTGGTAGCCAGTATGCTCACTGGGGGTAGTAGTGACACCTGGGAACATCTGTGTGTCCTCTTGTTTCCTAACTTAATCCCTAGTAGGACAAGTAGATGGGTTTATTTATTTATTTATTTACATATTCTGTATAATTTAAAAAGTTGTTTGTAGCTGTGCTTGTACTGGACATTTTCCACTGCTGTGTTTAATTAAATCTTAAAATAAATCACTTAAAATGATCACTCCTCTCCAGGGCCACATTAGGATTTGTGACACTGAGTTAAATCACATTGTTTCCAAAAGCCTTTTGTTTGAGAAGTCTCAACACAGCGTTGTGAAGTTTCTAAATAAACATACTCTGGACGACGTTTGAAAATGATCTGAAAGGCTGTACAAATTTACAGTGTGCACACGTTTGGAAATACTTTGGGGATGTACTCCATTAGGTGTGAAACAAAATGTGGTGTGAAGAGAGGGAGCAGAAGCAGGTTCAGAGCAAAGAGCTGGTGAGATTTTAACAGTTAAAGTAAATGTTTAAAGCATTTAAAAAGACATCTGGAAAATAAGGAAGATAGAAATCTAGATGGTTTACCGCAGGGACTTGAATCACGAATACAGCAGGAAATTGTACGGCAGCCGAGCAGGCAGCCAAGAAGGAGGAAAGGGAAGAGAGAGTACGTTAGTTCCGTATCAGAATCTATTTTACTTTCTGACACAAAACAAAACCTAAAATTAAAAAAAAAAAAGTAAATTGATACCCAAAAGACAAGTTATATTGAGACTTGACAATTAAACAAATCGTGACAGGGTCGAGGGAAGAATATAAATCTCCAGGTGATTACCTGGATAGGAAAATGAACACTACCCAGACCTGTTTTTTAAAAAGAGGTTTTGGGGAATTTAAACTCTTTGTGGTGATTAGCACTTCTGCCTCATAGCAGTACAGGCTGAGCTTTTCCTGTGAAGTTTGTGCAGGTTGTCTTTTGCCCTTTGTTGCTTCCTTTTTGAACAGCATATTAAATGTGCAACGAGGGGGAAAAACACATTGGATAAAGCCTACAGCAACATCCAAAAAGGCTACAGAGCAACCCCTCTACCACATCTAGGTTTGTCAGACCACATGTCCATGCTGTTGATCCCTGCATACACTCCCATTAGGAGAAGAGCCCCCCCAGTCACAAAAACTGTGAAAACCTGGCCAGAAGGTGCATCACATCAGCTGCAGGACTGTTTTGAAAACACGGACTGGAGCGTGTTCGAACATCAGGACCTTGAAGAGCACACAACATCAGTGCTCTCATATATTAACTTCTGTGTCAACAGTGTCACTGTGGACAAACGTCTCCGGGTGTATTCCAACCAGAAACCCTGGATGACTAAAGAGGTCCAGGTCCTGCTGAAGCAACGTGACGCCGCTTTTAGATCCGGTGATGGTATGCAGTACAGTGCAGCCAGATCTCAGTTGAAAAGAGGCATCAGAGAGGCCAAGGCAGCGTACAAGAGAAGGATCGAAGACCACTTCACCACCAACAACTCACGACAGATATGGCAGGGAGTTCAGCACTTAACCAACTACAAACCTGGCAATACCACGTTGACTGAGGGTAACGCGGAGCTTGCAGAGGAGCTGAACCACTTCTTCGCACGCTTTGAGGTGAAGGGACCAGAGGCAGCAGCAGCAAAAACATCGGACAGCAGCAGCCCAAGCCTCATAGTGCAGGAATATGAGGTGAGGCGCACACTGAGGGCAGTGAACCCCAGGAAGGCCACCGGACCAGATGGGGTAACCGCAAAGGTCCTAAAAGAGTGTGCAGACCAGCTGGCTGGGGTCTTCACTAAGATCTTCAACACTTCACTGTCCCAGTCCTGCATCCCGCCGTGCCTAAAGTCAGCCACAATTGTCCCACTGCCAAAGCGTACTAACATTAGCAGCCTCAACGACTACCGACCAGTTGCTCTAACACCTGTTATAATGAAGTGCTTTGAGAAACTGGTCCGACGTCACATCATGTCCTGCCTGCCACCCACACTCGACCCGCTCCAGTTTGCATACAGAGCTAACAGATCAACTGAAGATGCCATTGCTACAACGCTCCACACCACCATCTCTCACCTGGAAGTGCAGGGCCGTTACGCCAGGCTGCTCTTTGTTGACTTTAGCTCTGCTTTCAATACGATACTCCCGGACAGACTAATAGATAAACTGCTGGAAATTGGACTTCCTTCCACCACCTGCCGCTGGATCAGAGACTTCCTCTCAGACCGTGTACAGAGAGTTAGAGTGGGGCCTCATCTTTCCTCAGCCCTCAGCCTCAACACCGGCTCTCCACAAGGCTGTGTACTGAGTCCCCTACTGTACACTCTGTACACACATGACTGTGTTAGTTCCCACCCAGACAACACAGTCATCAAGTTTGCAGATGATACCACCGTGGTGGGGCTCATCTCAGGGGGAGATGAGACTGCATACAGAGCTGAAGTTCAGAGGCTGTCAGATTGGTGTGCAGACAACAACCTGGACCTCAATACCACCAAAACAAAAGAACTGGTAGTTGACTTCAGAAGGAGGAAGTCCGAGCTGCAGCCTGTCAGCATCAACGGGGAGTGCGTGGAAAGGGTCTCCAGTTTCAAGTTTCTGGGTGTGCACATAGACACAGACCTCCAATGGAGCTCTAACACCTCTGCGGTCTTAAAGAAGGCCCAACAGCGTCTCCACTTTCTGAGAATCCTCAGAAAAATGGACCTGAAGAAGGAGCTGCTGACCGTCTTCTACCGCTGCTCCATTGAAAGTGTGCTGACATATTGCATCGGTGTGTGGTTCTCCAGCTGCACCACAGCACACAGAAAGGCACTCCAGAGGGTCATCAACATGGCCCAAAAAATCATTGGACATCCTCTTCCCTCCCTGAAGGACCTGTACAGCACTCGCTGTCTCAAGAGGGCACGCAGCATCCTACGGGACTGCACACACCCAGGACACCGGGTGTTTAAGCTGCTGCCGTCTGGCAGGAGGTTCAGGCTGCTGAGGTCCCGAACAAATAGACTCAAGGACAGCTTTTACAACAGGGCAATAGCCCTGATCAATGTAAATAGCTGACCTGACTGGCTACCTCCCTGGACTTTTTAGGGGAGGTAACAATGTTTAAAATGATAACAATAATATTTATATTTATAACAAGGTGCAATAATAATTAATGTGCAATAATAACAGTGTGCAATACACATACACTTATTCTTCTTTTTTATACTAAGTTAATATACTGTGTTGTGTTGTTTGTTACGTTGTGATGTGTCATATCGTGTCGTGTTGTGTTATATGTAGTGCCGACGTAGGACAGTTTTTCCAATTTCATTGTACTACTGTACTATGTATGACTGTGCAATGACAATAAAGAGTTATCTTATCTTATCTTATCTTATCTTATCTTATCTTATCTTATCTTATCTTTCACAGTCCAAAGACATGCACAGTTGGACTAATTGATGATTCTAAATTGCCCGTACATGTGTTGAGGGGGTACTCTGCCTCCTTAGATAAGCTCCAGTTTGCAAATATTTGGACAGTGATACAGTTTCTGTAATTTTGCTTTTGTCCACCATGGCAGTGGAATTTAAATCAAACAAGCAAGATGTGATTGAAGTGCAGACATTCATTACATGAACTGTTTAGGAATCCTAACCATTTCTGTACACAGACCTCCTTACCATTGTTATTTCATATTCATATTCTTCTTATTGCTAAATAAATGTTTAGTATGTCTTTGCAATCTGTGCATTAGACCAGAGGTGTCAGAATCATTTTACATGGCAGGCCACATACAGACGAGTAAAACTCCCCTTTCTGTCAGTGTAAAGAAGTTAGATGTTTAACGGTTTTTCTATATGATGACGAAAAAGCCTCTGTGATAAAGAAAGACATCTGTCAGAAAGACACTTTCAACTTAAATTGTAAGAAATAAAGTTGCAGATAAAGTTCTGGAAGCTCATTTACCAAAACTGTCGTTGTAAAACAACAACAACAACAGAATTTACACAAGTTTTATTAGAGACACGGCTAAGACTTTGGCCAACATAATAATTTGTGAAAGTTGAATTTTTCCGGTATATAGAAAAGGGGAAGTAGGGGAAAGATAAGTTTTATGTAAGCACACACACAGCTGTAAGGTAAGAGCTATGCAGGAAGTGCGATTTTATCGTAGTGGAAGCAAGACACCGAAGGTAAGACAAATTCATGACAGTGAATTGTGAATTTTAATTTAAAATTCACTTAAACGACGAAACCTGTCGTTTAAGCTGTTTGGTGGCTGTTTATTAAGAATTATTAACGGTTTCAAGCGCACATTCAGGCCTGTGAGACTCATTAGACACTCTGACACTGAGCCATGGCTCTGTGCTTATGCACACGTTTCTGCATCTCTGTTATTCAAAGACACTTTCTATATGTATAATTTATTTTATGTAAAATTCACTACTAAACTGTAACTTTAAGGACAAGGAAGCGATATTTTATTCAGTTTTATCATAAAAGCTTTATTTTTATGGATTTGCTATTACTAGCGAGAACAAACCTGAGGTTTAAGGCCTGGATTACTTTGAAACCTTTGAAACCTGAAAATAAAAAGGGGCATTGCTTTAT